ATGTTCTGGCACCTTGTTTGTTATCTACGCTACACGAACTCTGAGTGCTATGCCCCGCCCTTATATATTCACAAAGTGCCAGCTTTCCTATGCAGTCAATGTAGCTTGTTCCTTGCCCTCAAACCTTCAATGACGCTCGATGATGTCCTACGGGCCCTGTTGCTTCGACGTGATTCGCGGTGCTTCCCTCCGTTGGCTCAAGCGCCCGCGCTGCCATTGCTCCTGTGTCCCTTTTCGGCAGCTAGAGCCCATCTCGCGCAGTGGACGACGCTGGCTGCCACGCATTACCGTTTCAATTTTTGCCATGTCTGCAGCGGCTTGGCACATATGTCGGCGATATTGATGTTGCTGTCGAGCATGTCGAGCTTGACGATGCCGCTGTCGTATGCTTCCTGTGCATACTTGAGCTCAACGTCTTAGTGCCTGCTTCTTGCATGTTGGGATTACCGAGAATGTGGTGCAGTGCGCCAGTGTTGTTGATCTTGATAGCCATATGATCACTGGTGTGCCCAGATTCTGCCGCCAAACTGCCTCGCGGTTGCTTCGTTGTGCTACAGTCAGCTCTGACTCCTTTGAAGAAAGTGTAACTTTGCTCTGTTTCTGGGACAAATAGATGATGACGCCCGATGGGATGTAGAACACGAAGCCCATCATGGGCTTCTTGTCCTTGCCGCTTGCTTAGGCTGAATCACAGCAGTCGACTAGGTTTGTACCATTGGTGCGCTTGTACTCCATTTCGAGATTGCAGGTCTCTCGGCCGTACTGCATCACCCTCTTGGCAGGCTGCCAAGTTGCTGCCATCGACTCAGCGCTACCCTGCTTGGCCCTGATGCCTGAGTAAGCCATATCAGGCTGTGTCCCGAGTACGAGATAGAGCAGAGATCTAATGACTCCAGGGTAGAAATTCTTGTCCTTGATCATCCCGTTAGCATCGACGTCCTTTTCCTATGCATTGAATGCGGGAGTTACGACTGCCTTGAGCTCTTCCATGTCAAATCTTCGAAATATCGAAGTTGCGTATGCCGTCTGGTCGACGAAGATGCTGCCTCTGTGAGTGTTGCGTCGGATCAAGTAGGCTGGAGTAGTCCTGAAGCGGTCCGAGGTCCTTGGTGCGGAAGAGCTTGAGCAGAAGGTCTCGTAGTCGAAGGGTCGTCTCCTGATGTTCGGTTGCGAAAACGAAATCGTTAAGACGTCAAACCTTGAAGTTACCATTAATCGTTCCCTCTTATGAGCACTGGGTGCCTTCGCCGCTGGTGAAGCGATCTGCCGAAGGGTCATGCCGAGCTTACTGTGCCAATTTTGACCTGCTTGCTGTACTCCCTAAGTGCTGTTGCGCAAATGCATGGGCTTGCTGGTCGAACACTACATTCCGGCGGTTGATTCGAGGTAAGCTTCCTCCTCGCACTCAAAGTAATGGTAGGCGGTCTTAACGTCTGGATGATGGTTATATAGATTGTTCATGGTGGCCAAAGCGATTGCTGTGCGGAGGGCGGTCAATCAGGAGACAGGCGCTTACGTCTCATGATGGCTTTCCCCCTGCGATCTGCCAGAAGCCCCTAGTTTCTAGTCCTGCGATATACCGCTGCACGTTACCGTCACTGTTGTGTTTGACCTTCAATGCCCTTTTTGCTCCCACGGCTCGCCTGCCGGTTGGCAGTTTTTGCCTCAACCCAAGTTTTGTTGCCTTTGTTATCATGTTCGCTCTTTGGTACCGTTTCCCACTTGTCAGCCTTGTCGCTTTCTTGTAAGTGCGACACTCTGCTGGATCAGGAGAAATGGTGGCTATAATAAGTAGAACGACGCTACGTATCAGAACTTGCCAGTTTGCATGCTGACGCGAGTCGATGTTCTCAAAGTAGTTCCTCACGCTCTTACAAGAATCATCTCTCCCCGACTTGTTGCATTGGCACCTGCTGCTGCAAACCTAGCACATGCCCCGGTGCAGCTGCCTCGCGAGCATCACTCTGGTCATGATTTCGTTGCAAGGAGCTTCGTGCTCCTCAGTGCGCGCAGACCTATTGAGCATTTCGATGACCTTGACGTGTCAAGACCGGATGAGCTGCTTGAGGCTTAGAATCTAGACAGTGCCGTGGTGCTGTTGTACTCGATGAGGACGCCCATGTTTGCGCACTCGTGCGATTTGACACCTCGCAGCGCTCTATCGCGCATGAAGTACGCCGTTGAACCTATTGTGAGAAGCTGGTCGTTCGATATCTTTCAATTGCATTACGTTTCTTCTGGAATCTGGATCATCGTGCAACCATTGCGATGGGTAATGCGTGCACGATGATTGCACGCGAAGGCTTCCGTTGCGACCAACTCTCCCAGAGTGCATTTACAGCTTCGATTCACTGGTCCATGCTAGGACCATGTTGAAAAGAGTCAAATTGAGGCGTTCTGCATGCCTGCTCTGTTGAGCCAGCTATGAGGCTTACATTTCTTGCCGGATACCTTGTGGACTGAGGAGTTGCTACACTCACATGCTGTCGTATACACCGCTGCCGTTGTGTGAGTGGAGGGACCTTGATCATTTCCACCTTGATCATCTCTTGCGCATTTTCTTCTCTATTTGGAGGATCCAGTTGTCGATGATGTCAGCAACACGTATGAACTGCCAGTGCCCCAACCCAGGCTTTGCCCGAACTTTTACTTGTGAAGGTTAGGAAGTAGAGCGCGCTAGCTACGCTCACGATGCGTAGAGGTCCAATGATATCCACTTGCACCCTTTCAAGCATATGTAGTTCCCTGCTTTCTCTATTATAGTGCCCTATGGGAAGTGTGCTACTTTCCGAGCGTGTACGCTTCACATGCACTATCAGCTTGGGTAGTGGGTAGACCCTTCGCCTTGTAACTCGCGTTGTGGGAGTCATGCCTTGTGTGGCCGATGCGCCAGTGCCATTGCTCGCCGTTCGCATCTGTATGACTCGAATATGCCCGACAAAGTTCTGCATTGTGGTGGTGGTTCCCTATATGACAGGGAAAGATGAGATGCCGTTGTGTAAACCCGCTCTTATGGTCACCATACCGTTTCCACTGCCCCACATAGCCGTGGCCCCTTAAGCGTGATGCAGTCACCAGCCTCCGCACGTTTGAACCTGCTGACGATGATGAGGTCTCACGGCATGCCTCGGACTCCAAGAGGATTCTTAAGATAATGCTTACGAGATTGCCCTTGCTGGGCTTGGCATGGATCGGCCCAAAATCGCCCTTAGCCACTACCTTCATTCTGCTGCCCTTCGTGAGTTTAATAACGGCAGAATCCTTGACCTTGTTGGCGAGAGCAGTGCATTGAGGGACGAGGTGATACGAAGATCCCGTGCTGAGGATGTTGTTGTCGTTAACGCTCCTGCGCTGCAGGGAAACGCTGCATAGGGTGAATGCCGACATAGCATCTGACATTGTGGGTGGTTTCTCAGCTGTGAAGTGGTTCTATGTACTTCTTTCGATCGACATTCTATTTGCAGGTGGCCTTGCTTGCCACAATTCCAGCAAGTCATTTTTCCATTACCAGTATCTGTGCAATGCCTGCTGAATACACATGTGCCAGTCGTCTCGTTGGCATTGTTACGATGCTGGCAAACCTTCTCCTGGAGTAGTGTTTCGTCGTAGTGTTCCTTTGTCAACTGGTCGCTAACCTGCTCGAGAACCTGGAAGTGATTGTTGTAGCATGAATCGAGTCCGACAAGAGTAGCAAGGCGGTAGTCTGTCTCGGACATATCGACTCCATGTGCTTTGATCCTGCCTTTCGTAGTTGCAAGGCGGTGGAGGTACTCATGCATGCTCTCAGCAAAATCCTTTTTGATGGTCCAAAGTCTTGCATTGAGGATGAAAAAGGCAACTCCTTTCTTGAGCTGGTACTTGGCTTCCAACGTGTCCCACAGCTCATTAACTGTCTTCACCACGCGGAGCAAGCCAGTGATCTTGTCGTCCATGACAAGCACCAGTGTCGCCAAGGCCTCCTCCAATCTACTCTCATACTAAGAAACAGTACCATCGTCACTCAGGGGCTTACTGACCGTTCCAGTTACCGTAGCCCCACACGCTGGCCTCCATCATCAGCATCCGGGCTTTGGAACCCTACGCGTCGCAGTTACCGCCATGTAGCTTCTCCATGGTGGCTGGGGCCTTTGTCGAGGTCGCATTTGCTGACATCTTAGTCATTTGCATGAAGTCTCTTGAGTATTCAACTCGGAATTTTTTGGGAAGGGGGGGGGGGCTCATAACTTATTGAAGGAATGGCTCATTACGACCAAGATAAGATGTTCTGGCACCTTGTTTGTTATCTACGCTACACGAACTCTGAGTGCTATGCCCCGCCCTTATATATTCACAAAGTGCC